AAATACCCTTAGAATAAAGAAAAAAACTACCCTATGAATAGACGCGATTAAAGTAATGCATTGAAACATTATCCATACTACACTTACTCTTAGTAATGATTGGAGACACTACTGACAATACTTTACGACCTGACTGATAGCCATCCATTCCTAATTTCCACTTGACATACTAAAGCTTTGTCTAAATTTTACCTACATCAGATACACACAACTCTTTTAACTTAGTTACACAAATTTCTCATCCGCGCCTTCTGTTTGTAATTCTCAGATCAAAAACAAACATTATTTTCTAGTGATTACAGATAATTATAAACTAGTTCATCAAGTAGCTGAAAAGAACACGAATATCTTAAATGAATAAGAAGCTCTGTTCAGTAAACTAAGCAAAAGTATTCCGATTATTTAATTATACCTATTTTAACACTTATCAAGCCTAGAGAACATCATATCTTTCTGTATTGTTGATGAAATGATGAATACAGAAAAAAGACAAAGAAAGCAACCTTGAACTAATACACTCAGAAGCAAATTCATATCAATTATTGGACTATCCATAAAGCCACAAATCAGAGGTATGATTGAGAGCATAAGTTAGGTCACAAAAAGTCACTCGAGTGAGTAAAACAAAAAGAAAAATGAAACAAACTCCTATTTAAATGCTAGAGTGGTGTTTATTATTTTATGTTCATTTCCCAATGAGTGGTGAAATTCATACTTATTTCACACTGAATTTGAATACAAATAATACTGAACTACCTTAGACCTTATATTAATGATATGATCTTTTCTAATCGATGAAGAAACGATTTATACACCAGTATCATTTCCCTTCTTGAGTACTGCGTCTGTCATCAAAGATTTTTAATGGCGCGAAAATAAGTGCTGCTCTAAGAACTCAAATATCCAACACATACACGAAATGACTAAGTTAAAGTTCATGGGTCATGGAATTCCGCCCTATAGGGCTAAATGGTTAACGAACTGGACTAGTAACCTGAAGGTTGGGGTTATGATTCCTGGTAGGGTGGTAAGTGTGCACAGTTAAAGAGTCCCAGGCTAGGACAAAATAGCTATCAAATACACCCCGGTTACTGATAGTTCTCTACATTGTAATATACACAGAAGGCAAATGATCAAATCTTATGTGATTCACATACCTACAGTCATGTGCTTTGAATGGGCTTTCAATCACTTTGTTTTTCTATGAAGCCAAAAACAACATACTGATGTGTGAATGACAGTACTACTCTTTCTTCCTAATCGTTTCAAGCTCGCTCACAATCTTAACTGTGTACAACATTCATGATGAAATATAAATTATTATTAGTCTAAAATAATTCCACTTAGGTGATAGTGAATTTCATAAATAATCAAAGGAATAGAAGGACCTTTTAGTGCATCCATATATGATGCAGGAGTGCTTTTATGCTTTTAAAGCAAATTTGTGTATTTTGATTAAAAACAAAATAATAAAACCAAGTTTCTTTTTGTTTGATTAAGTCCAGTGCAAGTAGGTAAAGAACAGTTATACACTTACCCAGAAAACTGAAAGTGCTATGGATAATTCTAAAAGCTGTGATTTCGTCACCAATCAATCCGTTGGTGCTGATACAACTTCCCAAATAGGTGAAGTGGTCAACATGTTCTATCACTTCACTCCCTATCACTAAGCTAGGAGTTGACGTAGTCCAGTCTTGTAGTAGCATCTTACATTTTTCAGGGGCGAATCGCATGCCAAACATACGAAGATTGCTGCTCAAGGTGTTCAGAAGACTCTGCATTTTGTCAGCATCCTCCCCTAACAGGACTATGTCGTCTGCATATTCTAAGTCTATAAGACTATTCCCTGGTAACAAGTCGATTTCTTAGTCGTTAAGTTGAGTTAAGGATACTTCCATTAGCATATTTATGATGAAGTTAAAGAGAAAAGGAGAAAGTGGACATCCTTGACGGACACCACTGGTTGTTATCACTTCAGATGACAATTCCCCATAAGCCCTTACACAGCTACGTGAGTTTGAGTAGAGTTGTAACAACAGAAGACAAGGGCCAGGCAACAGATCGTTTATTACGAAAAATCAACACGTATTTATAGATTTTTATGTACATTATTGTAGGTCAACGTTAGTAGAAAATACAGTCTGTTGATTGGTTGTTTCTCACACAAAGTTAACCTTGCATCGCTTGTGGCTGTGTCAGTTCATCTATATATGTTAACTGTATCCGCCTGTCCACCTTGACCTTTGACCTCAATTACTGTCAACCAATTTGGCCAGCAAACATCTCTCACCACAACATGACTAATATTTGATACATAAACATTGACCTCAATTACTGTCCACCACTTGGCTAGTAGACAGCTCTCACCACAGAGTACCTTGATTAGTGCAATGTACTTTCTTGGCACTCCTTTCGCATTCAAACATTGCCATAGAACCTCTCGATCCACGGAGTCAAAGGCCGCCTTCAAGTCAAGAAATATGGCAATTGTTGGACGCCTAAAAGTGTGTCTATGTTCTAGGATCTGTCGGAGAGTGAAGATATAATCTATGCACCCTCTGTCTGGCCCAAAGCCTGCTTGATTTTCCCTCGTTTGTTCCTCCCGAGTTCGGTTTAGTCTGTTCATGATTAGTGAGCCTAGGATTTTAGAGACTATGTTCGTCAGGATGATTGCTCTATGATTATCACATGAGGACTTGTCTCCCTTCTTGAATATTAGTATAATAAGTGACTTACCCCAATCTGATGGAACCGTCTCTGATTCCCAGACGTTACCTAGTACCTTAGTTAAACTATATATTAGTATGTCACCCCCATATTTAAACACCTCCGGAATAATTCCGTTGGGTCCTGCCGCTTTGCCTCGTTTCAAATTACAGATAGCTTTCGTGACCTCACTTACAGACGGCGGACCAGTGTCTATGTCCCATTCAGGTGTGTGCTGGATGGCGGGGAGGCTCAGTGTGGCTGTAGGCAAGTTAAATTGTTCCTCAAAGTGTTCCTTCCAGCGTTCAAGGCGTCTATCCTGAGAGCTAATTAAGGAGCCATTTTTCTCAGAAATAATCTCACTTATGATTTGCCTTCTCCCACCCGTTTCCCTGATGAGTCTAACGAGTTGCCTAGTGTTGCCTATCGCCGATGCTTTTTCTATCTCTTTCGCTTTTGTCAACCACCACTGTTCACGGTCCTTGCGGAGACTTTTCGAAAGTTTCCTTTTGTGCAGCTTTCGCTCCTCATTGAATTCGGAGCTCGCCGGAATTAGTCTTCTAGCATCTATCAGTTCGGATGAGGCAGTCGAAATCCAATGGTATTTACTCACCTTTGGATTTACCTTATTCACAGCTTTTACAGCTGTATCTATGGCTGACTGAATATTCTTCCAGGCTTCTTCGGGGTGAGCGCAGCTGTCGAACTCAGATATGTGTTTAGCTAGTTCTTCCTCAAATAGAGACTTAGTTCCCTGGTCGAGCTGGGGACGTGATGGGTTTACCGCCAGCTGTTTCCTACGTCCGTTCAGTCGTAAGCACATACGAGCGCGGACCAGTGCATGATCGGTATCTACACACGTGTTCCAGAAGGAGCGACAATCTCCTACCGACCCACGCCAACGATAGCTTATTGCTATGTGGTCTATTTGTGTCCAGCGTTGGTTTGATGATGGAGGTCGCCAGGTCAAACAGTGTCTCTCTTTGTGCTTGAAGTTACTGCTTACAAGAAACAGATGATTATCTGAACAGAACTGTAGGAGACGGTCACCGTTGTCGGTTCGCTGGCACGGAATTCCGTATGTGCCACCGACATTCTTCTCAGATTGACACAATTTCCCTACTTGAGCATTAAAGTCACCAGCTAGAACGACTATATCTGAGCGTTTAGCCTTTCGCAGCTAACTAGACAGCTTTTGGTAGAACTCATCCTTCGTTTCATCCGAACTGCAGTCAGTGGGGGCGTAGGTGGGGATTACGAAAAGGCATCGGCGAGTAGCGCAGTCCTTTCTCCTTTTCACTGATCCGTTCAGACGGACAGCACACATTCGGCTATCTACCGGGATCCAGTCAAGTAATGTCTTTTCTGCCCTAGTACTCAAAGCTATCCCTACACCAGCTAATCCTCGTGAGCTAGCTGTGGTATCTCCTGACACCCTCAAGGTGAATTTTGCAGATTCATCCTGTTGGCCAGGTGGGGTTAGGTGAATAACCACACTTGGGTCTTGTATGCGTGTTTCTGAAACACAACATACATCAATGGCTAGGGATGCCAGAGTCTTGGCTAGTGATGCTTGTTGCCCTATTTGGCAAAGTGTCCTAACATTTAATGCCCCTATATGAAATTGGTGGCGTGGCTTTAGGAGACTATCGATGGTGGGTTTTTTTGGCTTCCGTCGTTTTCAGTGCACACAGAGTGAAGAGCCATCAAGTAGAGGAGTTGCAGTGGTAGAAAGAAGGCAAGATAATAGAGATGAAGATGAAGACAAAGATGAGTGAGGATTAGAGAGGTTTCGCGTGCACTTCGGATTTTGAGGGCAATTGTTACTTCCCGGCTGCCCACACCGTGGAAGTTGGTTGCATGACCGCAGAATCCAGGGGACAACTGCTTAAGGCCGGTCACACACGGTCTGTTTTCGTTGGTTCTTTTTTATTTTGTGTGTCTCAGTAGCACATTTATTACTTCTGCTCCGTGACATGGCAGCAGAAAGCGCTGTCGTTATTAATCCGGGCCCCGACCGATCCCGTATGATATTTTGTGATTTATTTTGAGTCATAGGATTGGGTTGGGTAACTGCTTTTTGTCTAACCGCTATCCAAACAACCTTTCTGGCGTGGTAGGACCTACAGAAACATAAGTTCCAGTCAGTATAGCTTGTTGGGTCATTGCGGTGTTCAAGCCCGACCACCAGGTCAAGGTAGCAGCTTTCGGTCGGGGAATAGCTTATAAATATGTGTGTCGTTGGCATTTAATCCTCTGTCTATTTGTTTTGTGTTTTAATGTTCTCATTGCAGAGTTTTCGAAAACGACCGGTTTCCTTGGGTGTCTCTTCGTCGTCTGCATCAGATGGCGTTTTTGCTTCATGTGAACGGAATTCAGTGAACAACTCTGTGTTCCTGAATTCAGTTTCAAAATCACAAGATCCGTTCCAATCTATATCCAGTTGTTCGACACCATCTGTCTTGAATGTAGATAATGTGAATACAGACTATTACGAATCAACTAAGAAATTGCAGTTATCAGTTCGTACTTCTATTCCCTATATAAACGACGAAGAAATGTATTCTGAAAACGGATATTTATTTAATGCATCAATTGAAAATGAAGCCTTAGATTCTGAATCGAATCGGCTGGTTTGTTCTGTGATGTAACTTTTCATTTCCACTATTCTTATATTACTTTAAATGTAACTTCTGATATTCAGTGAAAGCAGCATCTGCGTGAACTGTGAAAATCATCGCCTCATTCAAGCAGGAATGTATATTTTTTGTATTTATTGTTAAATATCAAAAGAAATGTTCTTTTATACGGAAATTAAAAGAAGTTGGATAAAGTTGCCTTCCCAACTTACTTAATTTTTCATTGGAGTTGATTCCATAATTAATCGTATTAAAATATTCCGGTTAGATACTTCCAGTAGAACCATGAAGAGGGACACTTTATTGATACACTTGACAGGCTTAATGACAGTAACGAAACAAGGTGTGAGAATCGTTGGCATGCGTTATATCTTAGAAGGTACAACTGTGTATTTGACCTACATATCCTGAATTGCCGCCTTAAGTGGCATAAATCATAGGAGTTGTCAAATTTCTCCTCTCACAAGTTATAGAATAATCTTTGCAACTGATTATTATTAACCAACAATGATGTGAATATCTTCAGTAACTAAATATCGAGAACGATACAACGGGTCAAGTCGCATTGCCCTCGACTAACCGAATCCAGTTCTCCACATATTACTTATTACCTCCAATGAAAGAAATAGAGAACATTAGCACGGAGATACTTCAAAACCAAACATGTTTTGAAAAAGGTGTAAATTGGAAATAGGAAATGAAGGATAACGGGAAAGCTTCTTCAAGGGTTTTTTATTTTGAAATATTTCTGTTTCATTAATATCTGAAGATTTTCATCAATATATGCAGCGTTTTTCAGTCCAATGATTGAATATTCGGGACACCAAACATGCTAATATACTGTGTTGAAATACCTGAATTACGCTAGGGTTGTTGTTTAACCATTGACGGATAACAAAGTGAAGTCATATGTTCCTCAGCTCATTCCGTTTCGACAAAGCTTAATTGTTCCAAATGTTAATATATAATGAACCTAGAAATAAAAATAACAATGACGAAGAGGTTTCCTGATGTCCATAATAAAATTGTTATAGGAAAGTAAGCAGTATAGAAGGTAGGATGAAAACATTCAACATAGGGACAGTGAGAAGAACAGAAGAGGTAACCATAAGTGTTTGGATTTGTAAATAGGTCAGATAAATGTATGTTTTGCCTATTTGATTTTCCAAAAAGTGATCAATACGGTTATTTGACTGCTCCACTTTTGTTCCGCAGAAATTGGACTAGACATTTCAATAAAATGCCAATCTACTTAATTGTATCACTTGGCCAGTGTCTTTATTTCTTGACGTAGACTTTTTTACTATATAAAGCGACTGTTTGATAGCACACCTAGAATCGGGTACTCTGATAGCAGCTATGAATAAATTCAGAGTCTATAATTGTTATACGGGTGATATTTTCATTATTGCTGATGAGGCAAATAAAGCCCTTGAAGTATTAATTAACACTGATTGATCGACTAGTTTTACTCTAGAAGTCGAGTCAGAAGGAAATCTCCTATTCTTAGATGTTCAGTTCTAGAGGAGAAATGATGGATCGATTAAACAGTAAATGCATCACAAACCGAAAATAGAACGGACAGTTAAATAACTTCCACAGCTTTGTCCCATTAAGTAGAGAAAGAAACCTCACCATCATCAAATCCCTCCTCACAAGAATCTGTCGCATATACGCAGAAGGCACACTAAATAGATGACTAGAGTCTTTCCATAACACCGATTCAGAATGGTTATTCATCAGAAAACATATGAAACGTGATATGGATACTCCACAAAAGATAAAACTCAAGGTTGACAGCTGAAATTCTTCGAAGCAGACTATCGAGAGAGAGAGATATTCGGGAAACATTCTTCTCCTCCATAGCTTTACCTCTCTCCCTCTCCACTCAACCTCTTACTCATCAAAATTTCAGAGAAAATGTTCTACTGTTGGGCAACATCTGTGTGCATTTAACAAACTCACTTGCTCCTGTGGAGCTAAGTACCAGTAGTATACTGTGTAAACATTCACAAGAACACCTTCAGATATGATTGTCGAAAGCAAAATTTAGGCGAACCAAATAGTTCAGTGCCTCAGCACAGTCTTATTACTAGTGATTTCACAGCCACTTTTTTTGGGGTGTCAGTTGTCACGAGGTTGTTTTAAGTCTAGTTTTTTCAGCTTTCTTGGCGAAGGATTCTAGCTCTTTTTAATCAATTCCCTGTGCCTCTTTCGTATAATTGTTTAAACAATGCATTCTACAGCTATTCTTTTAAACCTTCAAGTTATATCGCAGATCCTCGTTGTCTACATGCTCGTCTTTTATTCATAATGTCACAGTTTGAAACCCTGATGGTTGCGTGCTTTCGAAGATTCCCAAACTAGGATGAAACATCTGCCCGGTACTCTTATGTTTTCCAATGATTCTGCAACCGTTATCAGCTTATGTGTGCTTGATTACATTCAATCGCATAATGTGTACTATTCAAATATCGTTTTCATCTAAAGTCTACTGTTCCCTGGTTGAATTTCATCATTCCACATATTTTCCGTTTTAATTGGATGTGCGAAATCCATTGCTTTTATTTTTATTACTCCTATACCGTAATATTCACACCAACAAATAAATAAGAGGATACAGAAATTAATCTCTTACAACTGAAAAGTGAAAGCCGTTGAACCTAATTCGAATTTCAATAATAGTATAACCATAAGGAGAACAAATTCTCAGTAACCTCATAGGATTCTACGTACATTTTCAAACTTCATTGAATAAGGACGACATTACACTTCATATTCCGCTATTGAATTGCATTTGATATTATTCAAATATCCAATATTTGTTTTCACTCACGTTAAACACACAATGTCACCACCAGTCTTATCAAAATAAGTCAGTCAACATTCACTTAGTGCTTATAGCAACTTACACAAAAATAATTCTCTAAATAAAGGACAACGATTTCTGCAGGATACGACATCTGGATGTACAGACACCATTCTCGTTCTCATCAAGATGATGAGTTCCAATAGACGTGAAAAACAATGCAGTCATTCTTCGCGATTGTCTACGACCCTTTAACATCCATCACTTGGAAATGTAACACTATATCGAGTCTTTTGACAAATCGGGAGCACTTGTTTCGTGTAAGTGAAATTTCTCCGGAAACCAGATTCGAAACTCTACCAGTCTGTGGAGCCGACTGACATCACTATGAAATCAATATATGTTTTACCTTATGACATGTGAGACAGCAATTTACTAGTAAGAATAATGCAGCCTAGAAATCATGAATCTATTTCTAATTCACAATGATGCATAATCTTATGTATTAAGATTGCCTAAATTGGTTGCAGTCTCTATCCGGTAAGAGATCAACACAAGTGAAACCTATAAAAGACAGCCAAATGAACCCAATTACCAAGGAATAAAGACAGATTAAACAATGAGCAGACCACTTCAAAGGACTCTTGAACCGACCACCACCTACAACCCGTCCAGAAATACCAACAACAGCACGTACACAACTGCAAGTTGACAGCGATCCTCCAACGAAAGCTGAAGTCATGAATGCAATCGAGCTTCTGAAAGCTGGACCAGATGGAATACCCCCGAAAGCACTGAAAGCCGACCCAGAAACGACAGCAGATATGCTGACTCCACTATTGCAAAAAGTCTGGAAGGAGGGAAAAGTGCCTACTGACTGGAGGAAAGGTTACCTCGTGAAACTACCAAAGAAGGGCGACTTAGGACTCTGCAAGAACTGGCGAGGAATCATGCTCCTGTCGACGCCAAGTAAAATCCTGAGTCGCATCATCCTGGGGAGAATCAAGGACGCACTGGATACAGAACTCCGACCAGAACAAGCTGGATTCAGGAAAGGCAAATCATGTTCTGACCAAATTGCAACTCTACGCATCATCATCACAGAACAAAGCATGGAATGGCAATCAAACCTCTACCTCAACTTTATAGACTTCGAGAAGGCCTTCGACAGCGTTAACCACGAAGTAATTTGGAAACTACTCGAGTACTACGGCGTACCCCAAATATTCATCAGCCTTATTCAACAGCTGTACGACAACGGCACATGTCAAGTGATCCACAACCGAAAACTCAGCGAGGCATTTGGTGTAAACACAGGAGTCAGACAAGGGTGCTTATTGTCACCAATGATATTCCTAATTGTGGTGGACTGGATTATGCGTCAGACAGTGGGAAACGCGAAGACAGGGATATCCTGGACCGACCTGAAGAACCTAGAAGACCTTGATTTCGCGGATGATTTATGTTTGATGTCAAACAGAATCGAAGACTTACAAGAGAAAACAGAAAAACTGGTCGAAGAAGCAGCAAAGACAGGATTCCAGGTGAACATAGACAAGACGGAGGTCATGAAAATAACCAACCAACAACAGCAGCAACATCCAGTGCCAATCACCATCAACGGGAGGGATTTGAAAGAGGTTACTTCATTCACTTATCTAAGGAGCATTGTCTCAACTACAGGGGGAACGGACGAGGATGTCAAATCGAGAATCGGAAAGGCGAGAAACACATTCATCAACCTGAAACCAATCTGGAAATCTTCGTCACTCAGCATCAACAAAATTAGGATTTTCAATACAAACATCAAGTCAGTTCTTCTATACGGATCAGGAACTTGGCGGATCACAAAGAATATTTCCAACAGCCTGTTGCAGACCTTTATCAACAACTGTCTTCGTTCCATACTGAAGATTAGATGGCAGGAAAGAATCACCAACAAGAAACTATGGGAACAAACAAAACAAGAAGCAATCACTCAACAAATATGCAGGAGAAAGTGGAGGTGGATTGGACACTCGCTGAGGAGGCCGTTGAGTGACATCGCGCGTCAGGCCCTCGAGTGGAAGCCGAAAGGGAAGCGGCGAGTGGGGCGTACAAGGGTGACATGGAGAAGATCGTGTGAAGAAGAGTTGAAACAGTATGGACTAACATGGATGCAAGTGAAAAGTACAGCAGAAGAGAGAAGCAAGTGGAGACGTGCGGTTGAAGTCCTATGTTCCACTAGGAACTCGACGGAACGATAATAA